ATTTCGGAAATCGTTAGGGAATTTAACATTCCCAGATCCACAGCGCAGTGGTCGACCGCCTGCACTTACCGACCGAGACCGGCGACGTCTGCAAAGAGTCGTAAATTCTAACAGACAAGCAACACTGCGTCAAATAACCACAGAAATCAATGTGGGACGTACAAGGGACTTGTCTGTTAGAACTGTGCGGAGAAGTTTGGCTTTCTTGGGCTATTCCAGCAGAAGACCGACTCGAGTGCCTTTACTGACAGAACGACATCGCTTGCAGCGACTCTCGTGGGCACGTGAGCATATCGGTTGGTCCCTAGATGAATGGAAAACCGTGACCTGGTCCGATGAGTCACGATTTCAGTTGGTAAGAGCTGATGGTAGGGTTCGAGCGTGGCGCAGACCCCACGATGCCATGGACCCAAACTGTCAGCAAGGCACTGTTCAAGCTGGTGGTGGCTCCGTAATGGTGTGGGCTGTTTTTTCATGTCATGGTCCTGGTCCTCTGGTGCGACTGGACCGAACATTGACTGAAATGCTTATATTCAGCTACTTGGAGATCACTTGCAGCCATTCATGGACTTCATGTACCCAAACAACGATGGGATTTTTATGGATGACAATGCGCCATGTCACCGGGCCACAACTGTTCGCGATTGGTTTGAAGAACATTCTGGACAATTCCAACGAATGATCTGGCCGCCTAGATCGCCCGACATGAATCCCATCGAGCATTTATGGGACATCATCGAGAGGTCTGTTCGTGCCCAAAATCCTGCACCATCAACGCTTTCACAATTATGGACGTCTATCGAGACAGCATGGCTCAATATTCCTACAGAAGACTTCCAACGACTTGTTGAGTCCATGCCACGTCGAGTTGCTGCACTTCGCCGGGCGAAAGGAGGGCCGACACGATATTAAGAGGTATCCCATGACTTTTGTCACTTCAGTGTATATGCGTGTGCGTGTGTGTGTGTGTGTATGTGTGTGTGCTTTCTGTCTAGCTGGAAATGAAGCTCCGATCCAAAATATCACCATCAAAAGTTTACCATGCGTTACATTGAAGTGAAAACGACATTTGCAGCTTATTGGATTATCAAGACTTAGTAAAAAGGCAGTCAAAGCAAACGTCTTTTTTTGAAAACGACAAATATTAATAATGGTGGGTAAATAATAGTTATGTGGTTTAAATGATTGACTCCATAAAACTGATTTTAATGAAAGATAGTCATCGAATTATGTTAAGATAACCGAAATATGCTTAGATGACTAAAATTTTACTTCATAAATCTTAAACTCGTACACTAATAGCGTACGCCGAATCAACTATTAATGTCTTTATTAATTAAATATGGTAATAATTTTCTTCTTAAAAGGATAATGCTTTTTCTGTTTTTGAGAATAGTATAATAATTAAAAAATTTTAAATATTTAATAAATAGTTATATAATCATTAGCTTTTTTTTTTTTTTATAAGATAAAATTGCCTTCTCAATTTTGCTCTGATATTTTGTTAATAAAATATTGCAGATAAATACAATTATAATAACTTATTTAATAATTTTCTTTCTTTATGGCATTTTTAGTTATTTAAAAAAAAGTAACAGTCAGTAAAATTACATAACTTACATAGATTTTTATGAAGCCGTATTTCTAATTTTTTTTTAAAAATTTAAATATGACAAAAATTCAAAAGTAAAGTTGCCTGCTACATAATTTTTTTTTTACATGGAGGCTTCAGAGTTCTACTGCTGTGTCCAAAAAGTAAGACCAACTTTAATTATTCTTCCAAATTTATTTCATCGCCTTCAAAGTAATCCTCACCGAACACAATGCACTTATGCAATGTTTTTCCTATCCTCAATGCATGCTAAAAAAATCATAGGTCGGGATGGCCTTCAAAGCGCGTGACGATTCACGTTGAATCTCTTCAATCGACTCAAAACTGTGTCCCCGGAGTGGTCTTTTGAGTTTAGGGAACAGCCAAAAGTAGCATGGTGTTAAATCAGGTGAATACGGTGGTTGTGAAATGATATGGGTATCATTTTTGGCGAAAAAGTCACGAAGAATCATTGCAGTGTGAGCTGGCGCATTATCTTGATGCGAAAACCAAGAGTCTTTTCAAAAATGTGGCCTCGAATAGCTTCTCACAAACGACGCATAGTATTTAATATAATATGAACAATCCATTTATATGTACAGGAGACATGCATTTATTGCCATGCTACGAAACATCCACTGAGGCTTGACAATTTTGATGAGAAAATAGCTAGTAGACGGTAGCATTGAAAATAGTTTTTTTTTTTTTTCTTTCGAATGCAGTTGGCAACAGTTAGACAGCTTGGTCTTGGATGCCTTAAGGCAAGCGCTGTACAGACGTTACTCACTTCGCATTACCCAGGGGGCACATGTAACTTGAAGATAATTCACGGACGCGGAGTAACAATGCCTCGCAACGCTCTACGATCATTTTAGACCGGGACCTACAGTTTAAAGTGGATTCCGAACCACTACTAACATCCTTGGCACCGCCGGGGCTCGAACCCGAAACCTGTGGTACCGAGCGCCAGAGTGCTAACCACTCGGCCATTCAGGCCTGCACTGAAAATTGTTAACTATATAGTTGAAATGTGAGATCAAAAAACTATACCTCCTTATTTAAGTAACAAATAGAAAAAAAAATCTATAAGAGCTACAACAATACAGGCACTACTACAGATGTTAAACACTCACATGTGCTTTCTTAACAGCTATAGTATCTGAAAACTGAAGCTGCAAAGAATGTCATTAGCTTAATGAACAATGGCCCTCCAATATATTTATATGCGATTTTCCGATATATAGGTATGGATCGTCAGTGCTCATTTCATTAGACATCTAGGCTTTAATTGTAGGGTGTTCAGTTTGAAACCTGATAAATAAATATCGAAGCTTCCAGTACTACGATTTTAAACAAAACCTTGAAAACCTTTACTTTAAATTTTAGCTTTTATTTCGAAAATTATAGAAAATCTTGTGAGGTTTTTTTCAAATAATAACTATTATTCTGTTCTAACGCAGCTGGTAATACAGAGAGTTAATCTTTATGCCATAAGCAAGGCTGCACCGTTGTTACCCATTTAGCACTACCCAGGGGGCACGTGTAGTTTGAAGATAACAATACCACGCAACGCTCTACGATGCTAATAGACCGACACCTTCGGTTTGAAGTGAATTCCGATCCACTAAAAACATCCATAGCACTGCCGGGACTCGACACAAAAACCTACGGTACCGAGCGTCAGAGCGCTAGCCACTCAGCCATTCAGGTCCCATAACATCTATTCTAATATAATATATAAATATATATATATTTCATCTTTGTTATAGTTATACTAGTAGAAAATAGTTTGTCTAAACATTTTTGTTTTGTTTTCTTTTAGATTTAGCTTGTTTTTTGTTATACATAAAATATTAATTTAGCATCTCTGAAACCACCTATTTCATCTGCTTTACCATTTTTGTTAAACTTTTTTTGCTGTTCCGCGTTGTTTTAAAATAGTGGCAGAACATTTTGCATTAACTGTAATTGGTAAATATATTTTTTTATAATTCGTGTTAACTTCATGCATTAATGATTTAACATTTTCATGCTCAATTGACAGGCTCACTTTCATATTGGAATGATTTACTAAAACAGAATTTCAGGGATTGGTTAGAACAGGGGTCTCCAAACTTTCCAGCCTTCGGGCCGTACTGTTTACTCAATAAGTACCAAGGGCCAAAACCGTTTTAATTTTTCTACCATTATCTATAATTTCTAGACTAGACGCCGAGTACGCGCTCTGAGCGAGCACACGCTTGCTAAATTCGCTGGTTCAATTACTACAATTACTGTTGCTTATATCGATACGACCGTGACGCTTGACGACATCTAGTGGTCATAAGCGGAAATAAGTAGGTAATATCCTTTTTATCGCTGACAGATGACGCTAGTTAATTTAGCTTTCCCGTTCCTGGGGGATTTTCAGGATAAAAAAAATCATATGTTTGATTCAGGATGTATACATTCCAAACATCGATATACATACATATGCGATACGTTTTTACCCCAACGTAACTGCTGAGAGTAACCGCGGGATGTTCACTAGTTTATAATGTTAGTGGGATTCATTTCAATTATTCGTTAGTTGTTATACTTCTGCGTATTATGCTTTACCTAGTAAGTCAATAAAACCGTGTCATTATCATTCTGTGTTTTTTTTATCCAACTTATTACAGCAACAATAAGCTATTCGCTGTCGCCGGGCCGGATTGAGGACACTGGCGGACCAGACCTGGCCCGCGGGCCGTAGTTTGGAGACCCCTGGGTTAGAACAGCGCAAAAAACTAAGGACTCAGTTACTATAATTGCTGGCCAGTGACTCTCAAAAAATGCAAGTATATCCATGTCATCAAAGCATAGTGATTCTATAAAGAAATTTTTGAGATTTATTGGAAGAATTCTTAGAGTAGAATTTATCAAAAAGTTAGTAATTATTTAACAATTTTTTCGATACTGCTGTTCTTTTTTGGCTTAATGGGAATTTTACAAGCCAAATTTTGATATAAAAATCACATTACAAAGCTTAATTTATATATCCAAAAATTCTGTATCTCTGATAATGAGTAGGAGCTTGATAAATAAGTAGAGAAGAATATTCCAGATTGGTTTCAAGAAATTGGTGAAGATAACACCATATTTACAAATAAATATAATAAATAAAATGTTGTTGTTGTTGTCGTGCCCCTCACGGAAGGAGGGGAGAGGGGTGCAGCTTCTGTTCTGAGGGAGCACCCGTAGGTAGAAGTCTGACTTCTGCTCCGTAACGGTCTTAAAGTCATAAGAGACCGGGACCTACGGCTTAAAGTGGATTCCGAACCACTACAAACATCCATCGCACCGCCGGGATTCGAACCCGAAACCTGTGGCACCGAGCGCCAGAGCGCTAGACACTCTCAACCATTCAGGTCCCAAATTTGTGAATGCCAACGGCACGCGGTGTTCCCAGGTGGTCACCCACCCAACTACTGACCGCGCCCAATGATGCTTCGACTTCGGTGATCTAAATAAATAAAATGGAAATCATAAATAAATAGAACGATGAATAACAACAATCAAAAATAAATAATAAATATATTAGAATATCCAAATGATTGAATTGTTTTAGAAGTTGCTGGTAGCTGGCAGCGCAAGAAATTATCATAAATAAAAACCTTTCTTATAAAAATTCCAGAAAATATAATATAGTTCTTATATTTATATATTTCTTATAAATAAAAACCTTTCTTATAAAATTGACAAAAACAGCAGTTCTTTCTGATCAGAACTTTTATGACTGTGCTGTCATTCTAAGATTACCATTATGAGAGCAAAAAAAATATTATAAATACAATTAATAAAAAGTTCCAAAATAATTATTTTAATGCTTGTTAAAAAAAAAAAATGAAGTTTACTTGTAAAAGTTAAAAACTATTTTACTACTAAAATCTGAAAAAGATTTAATTAGATGCAAAATTGAATTTTTTTTCAGAAAAAAAAATCATCCTTCATTTTTTTTTTCTTTTCATTTTGACCAAAAACTGAAGAAAATATTAATCAATAATAAACAATTTTTTTAAAATAAATGAAATCTTTGTTTAAAAAAATTCAAATTATTGTGGCAAAAATAGAAACTCATAAATGGATAGATGAATAATAACATAATAAAATAATAATAATAAAATGTGTTAGCATATTAAATGATTGAATTGTTTTAGAAAATTGCAAGTAGATTTCAGCACACAAAAAAAATAAAACTATCCTTGGGAAAATTCAAACAAAAACATCAGTTCTTTTAATCACGCTTTTATTAGTTTCACCTGTATGTTTGTTTGTATGTATGTATGTAACTGACTCTTGACCTCGATTTTGCCCTACTTTAAGCGATAAGATTTAATTTAAACGTTGTAGACTTATCAAGTACACTAAAATATTTTGATAAGTCTAAATATATCTCATCATGATTAGGGATCGTTAGGATTAGTGATTAAAACACACAGCCTTTGAAAAGTCATCTTGATCGGCGCATAATTTTTCCCAGTGGAGATCTGCTTATCCTCATACACACTATATAAGCTGCAAAGAAACATTTACAGACATCTTTCAGATATTCAAACCTACGTGGGACAGCAGCACAACGGATAACGCGCCTGATTAGGAGATTCCTTGTTCGAATCTGGCTGGCTCGACATATTCGCCTTTGTTTTACTCACAATTAAATTATTGTAAGAAGCAGTCCTCCGTACCGGGACCTCATTTAAATATTATAGTTTAAAAACACTAAAAACATGCTTTTAGAGTTAATCAAACTAAAAGTAAAAATAAATTAATAGTTTAAAAAAACTAAAAAAACACGCTTTTAGAGTTATTCAAACTAAAAAGTAAAAAAATAAATTAATAGTTTAAAAAAAACTAAAAAACACGCTTTTGTAGAGTTAATCAAATTAAAAAGTAAAAATAATTGTTACCATAAGAATAAAATGACTGACGAGAAAATGAATGTCACTGTTCTAAAAGCGTGGGGTGCTTTGTATGACATTTTTAAACTAACTCTGCATTTCGGAATGAAACTAGTGAAAATTGTAACGATTGATATCGAGCACCCCACGCTTTTAGAACAGTGACATTCATTTTCTCGTCAGTCATTTTATTCTTAAGTTAACAGTTATTTTTTACTTTTAGATTGATTAACTCTAAAAGCGTGTTTTTTTTTTTTTAAACTATTAATTTTTTTTATCAGAACTTTTATGCTTGTGTTGTCACTCTAAGAATACCAGTATGAAAGTGATAAAATATTATTTATACAATCAATAAAAGTTACAAAAATATTTATTTAATGATTAATAAAAAATTGAATTTATTTGTAAAATTTAAAACTATTTTAATAAAATCTGAAAGAAAATAATAATAATAATAATAATTTGATGTAAAAATTTAATTTTTTCAGAAATAATACTCCTTTTTTTTATTTACATTTTGACACAAAATTGAAGAACAGATGAGTAGAATGTTCATTTGATTTCAATATTCTTTCTAACTAAAATAAAAAATATCGATACGGTCGGTATTTTTAACATTAAATTTAAAAGATGAAAATAGATAAAATCTTTATAATAAAAATAATAAACATTATTGTGACAAAACAACCTAATCTATTTTTGTTGTTATTGTTGTTATCGTGTCCCGATATCGATAAAATAAAAATCGTGTCCCGATAAAATATCGATACGGTCGGTATTTTTAACATTAAATTTAAAAGATGAAAATCCATTTTCCATTGAAAATAGATAAAATTTTTGTAAAATTATTGTGACATAACAACCTAATCTACTTTTTGTTGTTATTGTTGTTATCGTGTCCCTCATAGAAGGAGGGAAGAGAGGTGTAGCTTCTATTCTGATGGAGCACCTGTAGGTAGAAGTCTGACTTCTGCTTCGTGACGCTCTTACAGTCATAGGAGACCAGGACCTACGGCTTAAAGTGGATTCCGAACCACTACAAACATCCATGGCACCGCCGGGATTCGAACCCGAAACCTGTGGCATCAAGCGCCAGAGCTCTAGACACTCGGCCATTCAGGCCCCATCTATTTTTAATTTAATCATTTAGCAAATTAGCGAACCTTTGGTGAAGAAACCCGAAAACACAGTTCATTGTAAAAGGCGACATTAGAACAGGGGTAACCAACCCGCTACCAGCCTTGAAATTTTTCTGGGCTCGAGAGATTTATCACACTTTTACAAAATATATTTATTTTATAATGGCCAAAGGAGTGAAAACAAATGTATTAAGAAAATACATCATGTGTATATCCATATACTAAAAAAATGAACTGTCGAAATAATGAAAAAAAAAAAAAAAATTGAAAAAAAAATTGATTTTAAAATAATAGTCTTGCGAATATAGGACAGATAGTGCCTGTTTTATGGATGAGTTTACAGTTATGAGTTCGCAGAATAATTAAATTATATGCTACGAATTCTGATGCGAGAACCTTGGAACATCTAATATAAGAAGTTCTATGTTTCACTTTTAAGTGACCTCAGTACGCAGTGACCATCCCTAGATACGCACAGTTGATTGTTGATAGCAGAGCAACCAGACTCTTAGTGCTTTTGGTGCAACTTACAACTGCGAATTGTTTTTCGAAAATGTAATTGACCCAACACAAAACACGCTCGAGCATAACGGAAGCTAACCTGCAACACCCATTACGATGTGCAAATACCCAAATCGAGATCTATTTGCGAAAGTTAAGTGAAAGAGTTGAGGAACAAATATCGTACTAATAAAATAAATATTTTTTAATGATTTCATTTTTTTTAAATTTCTTTTTATATTTAGTTTTTAGTGTTATATATTTCTTTACATTGTGCGTTTAGTATCATTATTATTATATTATCTATGTTTACAAGTAAGAATAATAGTAAATACACACAAAAAATAATAATAGCTCATTATGTTTAAATTTTTCACTCCAAAAAAATGTCTATAGTGGGTCTCAATCTAATAGGAGGATATATAATTTTATGTGCGGCGCGCGGAGTTAGGATGCATCTCCAAAGTGGCTAGCAAGGTCATTTGGGTGGCCACTCCTGCATTAAAACAAGGTTTATTGCAGAAAAATCCACATGTAACATAGTAGGAAGAGTGATCATACGGATGCTAAATCAACGAATATGCATTTGCAGGCAATGTTGTAGGCTACAACAGGCAATGTTGTAATGGTTGAGCCTCACAGGGTTTGTATGCTACTACTACCACATACCACACCACATGCCTAGAGCTGAGTTGCACCTTGACAGTTTGGGAATGATGTGGGGAGAAGTCTGAGTGGGCTCTGTGACGCTGGACAGTCATATTAGACCGGGACCTATGACTAAAGTGGATTCCGAACCACTAAACATCCGCCGGGATTCGAACCCGAAACCTGTGGTACCGAGCACCAGAATGCTGGCCACTCGGCCATCAGGCCCCCAGGGTTTGTATGCATAAGCCATAGCCTCTTTGGACATCTGCACTAGCAGATAGCACTGGCTGATGGTCAATTGGTTACCTTCCTGGCCCTTGGAAACACAGGCATCAGGTTCGAATCCTAGCTGAGGAATGAGTATTTATTAGTGGTTCGAAATCCACAATTAAACCTTAGGTTCCGGTCTAATTAGCCCTAAGTATGTAAAATGACCGTAGAGCGACAAACCCAATCAAACAACGGTTATTTAAGTTCATTTGTGTAGTGGGAGTCGTCACTAGTAAACTCTTCAGTGTTTGGGATCCCTATAGTAGGAACAATAGGGGATCCCAAACACTGAAGAGTCTCTGCTAAGTCTGGTATAGAACACTCTAATCCCGAATTATGTTATGTGAACTATAGTATGCTAGGGCTACAGCGTCTAGAGGATTCTGCTTGAATAAAACTTGTAATCGAAGTTGTCATCTTTATTATTGTTAACCATGCTGCTTTTGTTGATGTACATTGACAAATCAAACAGCATAGTCACTCACGTACTGCTCTTTTATTTCTGATGTTTTCTACAACGTTAAGAAAGCATTTCCGATACTATATTGCTATGTCAATCGTCTAGGTGTATCTCACCCAAACGCATCCGAATTCTCTGTCCTCTCATCTGCCGTAATTCGCCTACTTCTATTGAAATTCAACTTCTACTCTAAGGCATATATGAGACCGATAATAACATATGCTAGTCCGGTTTGTGGATCAGCAGTCAAGTCTAACATGTGTATAACAAATCGCCTCCAAAATAAAATACTTCGTATGATCATAAATGCCCCTTGGTTCTTTCGAAATAATGACATACATTCTTCGCTTAATATTCCGACTCTGCCACATTTCATTCACAAACTCGCTCAAAATTTTTATACCAATCTCCCAAACATTAATAACGATTTGATCAAAATTCTGCCTGATTACATTATCAATAATCCTAAAAAATGCAAACGTCTGCAAACTGCACTCCTATGTAAAGCAAAATATTGTTAAGTAATATTGTCCTCCGGTTAGTCTAAA